TTTTTTTTGTGAGATATTTTATAGATATATATATATATATATATATATATATATATATATATATATATATATATATATATATATATATATATATATATTAATAACTTCACATTTTTCTTCACCAATTTATCCATCCATCCATCCATTTTCTGTCCACTCTTGTCCCTTAGTGGGTCGGGAGGTGCTGGTTCCTCTCCAGCTATCGTTCCAGACGAGAGGCGGGGTCACCCTGGACAGGTCACCAGTCTGTTGCAGGGCAACACAGAGACACACCCACACACACACCCACACACACACACACACACACACACACACGCACACACGCACGCACGCACACACACACACACACACACACACACACACACACACACACACCTAGGGGCAATTTGGAGAGGCCAGTTAACCTGACAGTCATGTTTTTGGACAGTGGGAGGAAACCAACTCAACGTCCGGTTGCCATTTTGACTGTTTGACTCCAGATCAACTCTGTTCCACCATCTTGGTTTGGGCGCACAGCATGATTAGTCCGGTGGTTCTTAGTCCAGGTTTCTCTAATTCAACCAGTTTAACAGAGATGCTGGTCTCTTGGTCCTCTGGCTGCTCGTCGGGTTTATATTCTCGTATCGGCGCCTGTGGGGTCCATTTTGCTGAAGTGCTGCCTGATCTCTGCTGTTTCGTTCTGGGTAGTCTAAGCTCTTTGAGATCTGTCGATCCTTTCTTCTTCACACTTTGCAGGGTTTTAAAGAAATGTTGAAAGCTCAGTGTGAGACGCCTTCGTGCTGAGAGTTTTAGCTTGATCCACTACAGAAAACACTTTGAACTACTTCACTGACTCTCCACTTTTTTTATCTTTCATGTCTAAAATCAGGACATGCAGGCATTACTGTACAGATAATATGCCTTTCATAACAGCACAAGCTTTTATCCCTCTCTTTCATCTCTGTAAATGACAGCATTCTGTTTAAATGAGGATTTATTAGTCCCTCTGCCTTCACTGTTCCCGCCACAGACTCAGCAGAACTGTGTCTTTTGTTGCCCGTTTTGCAGCGAGTGATGGATCCCCACTAAGCAGAAGAGAAATGAGACATGAGTGACTTCTGTTGCTTCTTGTTGCTGGCTAGTTTGAAGGAGCTGAGTGGGGGAGGAGCCCAAATCGGAGCTAGGTCCATCCAGGCGCTTTGCACAACTGAATGGTTGCCATGGAGATTAAAGGTTTTCTCAAACATCCATGAAAGAGTTAAGGAAACACTCCAGGTTTGTTTTGGTGAGAGAAGAGCATAAAAACATGATTGAAAAGTTTTTAAGGAATTTATTAAAATTTTAGTTAAATCAAGGTTAAATGACTTTTTTTATAATTTAGTAAATGAAAAGACAGATTTTAAGGGTTGTGAGTCTCTCAGTCTCGCTGTGCGTCGTTACTGAGCCACCCAGACTTTATCTCTCTGCTTGCTTTCATTTTCCATCTCTTCAGGAAAATGTAAGATTTGTTCTGCAGGCTGGAACAGATTTTTATTTTTTAGCCTACGTTCTCCACCTTCTGTATTACATCAATTAAAGCTAAAATCAATTGGGAGAAACAGACCAGCAGCTCCTTCCTCGTGGCTGATATCAATAAAATCACAATCCTCACATGGGGCAGCTTTAGTTCGCTGCGATTCCTTCAAGGACATTAAGATGTGATTGGTTCTGTGGCTTCCTGTAGACTCTACATGTCCTAACAGAATTAGTTCAGGGCTGTCTGGACACAAAGCATCAAGCTGTCAGGACTTTATCGTCTTCCCTTGAGCCGCGGTTAGACTTTGACAAGTTTAGAGCCTCGCTGGAAGCAAAATATCATTATCTCCTCTGTTTCTGTGTGTGACATGTTTTGAAATTGAATCATTCACACAGGCTGACATAAACAGACCAATTTATCAAATTTACGCCCACTGATGGTGAATGGACAACAGGAATTTAATGGGAAACATGGAAAGGAAAAACATTTTGTGCTTTTCTGAAGTATCAAGTGGTTGTTTTTCTTTTTTAGAAAAAAAAACACCCTTAAAACGGTAGCAGAAAAATGAGAGCAATCAAGTGCACACCCCCTAGCATGAGGCTAGAAGCTGAATGTTGGATAACATGACATTTTAATTAAAATATGAAACTTTTTCATGTTGTAGATAAATTACATTTCTTTTCCTTTTCCACATATTTTCCTTTTAGTTCTGTTTGAGCTTGTAGCTTTGGATATTTATATGCAGTTGTGAATGAAGGAAGATGATCACAAGGTAGTTATGAAAGCTGCTGAAAGTTGCCGAAGAGTTATATTACACACCTGATTATTTAACAGCCTGGTGTAGAACATCTACTGTTCATCTAAAAGATGCAGATTTATTGGGTGATTAGGAGAAATCACCCAATAAGGTCTTGTAGAGGCGTAGCTACAAGATCTATCAAACCGGCTCCCTAACCAGGTTTTTAAAAGCGCTCTGTATCCGAGTCTAGCTGTAATTAATCATGACGGTGAAATAACCACATATGGTGAACTAAGAAACCTAAATATTTATATGCAAAGAAATTGAAACAATTCAAGCGAAACCAGAAATATTCATAAAAGTGAACTAACAATCAGTCGGGTCGTTCTGTGAAGTGGAGACAGGATTTCAAGAAAAAGAGAAAATTAATTCTCACACTGCGAAATGTCAGATTAAAGTGAAATTAGATCTGGCACTGAGAACAAAAAGCTGCGGCTCGCAGGGAGACTCAGTGACCTGAATTACATCAAATAATGATGCAATTTGTGTTTTAAATATATGATATTGAATAAAACATCTCACACAGTTCATTTGTAAATGCAAATGTGTCTTTGCAAGGCTTCTTGGCTTTTAAAGCTGTATTTTTTAAGGCTTTAGTGTTTTAGCTCTCATTGTGGTCCAGTAGTTTTGGGCTGTACGCAGACTGTCTCTGTTTAAATGTTTTGCATTTGAGAATAATCCTTCTGGATTTGAAATGATCTGTTGGACAGAGTATTGGGGCCAAGCTGCAAACTGTCAAAACAGCTACTTTTACAGAGCTGACTTTAGCAGCACATGGCTAAAAAAAATTAATTGTCAAAGAAATTTTACAAAGAAAAAACAGAGAACCATGCTCATGAAATGAAACCTTCAAATAGGGATTGTTGAAACCTTCAAAAGACTAAAAGCTGAGTGCCGTCTGAAAGCATCAGACGGGGAAGATGACAGCATGAAGTTTCTCTGCAATAAAGCTGTCAAGAGTCTCCTAGAGTCTGAGAAGGAGCATAAAATCAGAAGCGTCTGGATGTTGGGATGGAGAGTTAAAAACAGAAAGACATTCAAAGCACTTCAGGCTGATGTGAAGCAAGACGAAGTCGTGTTTTCTAGTCCTATCAAAGACTGAAAAGGACCATAAGGAGACAAAACACCAAAACAAAACACGACTGGAATCACTGCACTGGAGTGAATGAAGGCTTTCTGCTGGCTCTAAAGCTGTTTGGTACGGAGGTAATTCAGTCGACGAATTAAACTAAAACTCTGAGAAGGCCTCAAAAAACAAAATACTTTATCCAGAGTCAGAAAAGTTACAGAAAAGTTCAGGTGCAGCCTGACGGAGTTGATCTTGGCAGGTCTTCTCTAAATACTGTTAGCTGAAATACTGAAAGGTGAAGCGAATCACAGTGCAGGTCCTGAAACAGCAGAAAGTCTGCAGTGTAGTTATCTAACATTTACTGGAGTTTTGTTTATTTTTCTAATTGCTTTATTGTTTTATTTGTATCCAAATTGGTGCAAAATTTCAACACATTTCATCACATGATTCCCAGCAGCAGTTTGGGCACCACAGGCCTCCACATCCTCATCACAAAGCTGGAGTTTTTTCATCATGGATGGATGTAGCCTGAGCGCTGCTGCCGTTTCCACCCTGCTGTTCAGACACAACTCTCTCTCTCCTCTTTATCTCAAACACCAAGTGTGTTTTCCCCTGAAGAAAACTGAAGCACCTCTGTTCAGTGCTGAGTGTTTTAAACATGAGTAAAAAAGACAGAAGTCAGGCTGACCGCAGAACCGCCGACGTTTAATAAAATTAGAAGTAAAACTTTTAATGTTGTCCTTTTTTTACTGACAGAAAAACAAACTGGAGATTGAATTTTTTGCTCATTTATTGTGTTGAACTTTTGTCAAACATTTTCCAGGCTGCTGTTTCTGTCTCAAACCCAACCTGAAACGGTGTGATGTCTTTCAGCAGCAGTGAAAAGACGTCACACCGAGTCTGACCTCGCTCCACTGCCTTCCAGTTTAGCTGTGAATTATTTCCAGGTTCTTTTCTTCATTCTCTCTCTGAACTGATGCAACGACTCGCTGACCTTCTGTCAGCAGGTCAGATGGTTTAAAAGTGTGAAGCTCTGGAGGATTGAAAACGTTTCAGGCAGCGTCCATCACTAACTGTTTTAAATTCTCTCTTTTATCTCTTAGCCAATTTTTTATTGTTTTGTGTAAATTTGTTTCTTCTGTCTTCAAATATTTGTTTTAAAATGACCGTACCGTAAAACACAACTTCCTTTGGTAGTGATTTATAAATAAACTGATATTATAACTTGTTCAGTGGAGAAATTTATCTAATTTATTTACTAATCATTTATCGTCATTTGTGTCAAAGTTTCATCACTGATAATTAACTGCCAAACCGAAACTTGGTTTATGTTTGAGAAAGTCACATTTTCTTGTGGCAGCAGGTCAGTCGTGGTTTTCTGGTCTGGATGTTTCTAACCCTTGGCTGAACGTCTGTCCAGGTTACGCTCCGGTCACAGGGATGTGCCACCCGGTCCGGAGCTGCACGCTCAACCACGAAGACGGCTTCTCGTCTGCGTTCGTCGTGGCCCATGAGACCGGACACGTGTGAGTTCACCTTGGTATTTCTGAGCGCAGAAACGCCATCAGAGCCGTTTTCTGATTGGCTGCCAGTTTAATTCATCAGGCTGGAAATGGAAAAGTTTCTGACCAGAAAAGAACAAAGGAGCTGAAAAAACAAAAGAACTGTGGGAATAAAATAAAATTTAATGTAATATAAGAACTTATTACATTACATAAAAAATATTTTTACTATGCTTTACTTTTTTTATCTTCTCTTACTTCAGTAAGTCTGGATTTTCTACTCAGACTCAGACACACACCTGCAGCTTCTGCCAAAGCTTCTTAAGTTTCTTTATTGAAAGAAACTAATTTGGAAAAATTTTCTTTTGCCTGACTTTATTTTTTGTTACTTATTGTGAGTTATCCACTTTATATTTTGGTGCATCTGATGATGTAATTCTTAATTATCAAATGATTTATAATTTGATCAGTTGCTCAGTACTTGAGTAGATCTTTTTTTTTTACCAAATACTTTTTTACTTTTGAGTTAAATTAAGTTGAAGTAGTGCTGCTCCTACTTTGGAGCAGTTTTTTGGTTTCTCTTCCGGCTCTGCTGAACGGAGATGATTGGTGACGACTGGAAGCATTTGGCCCGCTCCGCAGGTCCAGCTGGACGCAGAGCATGTGGATGTCAGGATTTAGGAGATAACAGATTGTAATCTGGATTAGAGCGTCCATGTGGGGACGGCTTTGAGGAGCGTCCTTGTTCCAGGTGTTCCAGTTCAGCAGATCCAAACGGCGTCGGCTGCGACGCTTCGTCCCACCGGCAGCAGAACCGGCGTTCAGCGGGCGTTTAAAGCAGCTGAAACATCGAGGTTAAAAGTTAGGAACAGTTTAAATGGAGTGGATGCAGATGGAGGCTTTGTGTTTTTCTTTGTATGAGGTTTTCAATCAATCAAGTTTGTTTCCAGGTGGTTCAAGGTGCTTCACATAATGAACACAAAGTTATGAAGGAAACAGCAGACAGCCAACAGTTGAACAAACATTAGTGTCTTCCCCAAAATTAGATTTTCAATGACAAACTTGTATAAATAAAAATGTTTAGGTAAAAAATAGGTGTTTTTCTTTTACGATCCATGTTTTTCTAGAGTTTCGTGTTTCGCTTATTTATCTTCATTTCAGTGTGATGGTAATATCCAGAGAGTTTTACTCAAAAACAGACTTAGTCACTAATTAAAGTGGCTTAAATCCAGCTAAAGGTTTTCTCATTTCTGTTGGCAGGTAAAACCAATAGTGACTCTGAATGTTTTATTTACAAATATTACATGTTCATTTGCTGTTTAGCAGGTAAAATGAAAAGATTTCACAGTAAAATTATTTCACATTTTTAACTAAAATAAATTGTGGCCCTTCATGTTTTCAACCTGCCGGTTTTGGCCCTCAGTGAAAAACGTTTGGACTTTCAGCAGTTCCACAAACCTTCAATCTTTCTTAGTTTGCAGCTTGTAAAACATAGATTTTATCCTCTGGTCAGTTATAAAACAAGTCAGACTTTTATTAGATGTCACCAGAATAATTCAGTTCTAGAAATAAAAACTAAATAAAAACCAAAGTCTTCCTCCTGGGTGGACGAGCGAGGCGATCTTGAACGGTGTCACCGCGGTGATTTCATCACAAACGGGGAGAAACGCTCTCAGCAGCTGAATCATCCTTCAGACTCTGTCGACTGACCTTCACACGTCCTTGAACCCTCTGGAAATAGAAAACAGTGAATTGCTTGAGGAGACCTTTAACATTCCAGCAGTGATTGAATGTGGAAGCTGCAGCCTTTACATGGCTGTAAATGCCAGCTGCACTTGTTAGCGTTTCCTGGCCACAGCTTTCGTATCGATTACTTGTGTTGCTAGGTAACGCTTTATGTACCATCCTGTGTACAGATTCAATGTGAGCAGTCAGACTTTCTTACTATTATTAAGTCATTTTGAGCAGAGATTTGAAGGTTTCTGTCGTTTTTTTGGACATTGACACCGTAAGTCTCAAGTAAAGTTTGTATCACATTTCAAGGAGCTTAACGTCATAAAAACACAAAGTCACAGAACATATAGTCAACCAGCAAACGTTATATTTTGCCATCATTATGCATAAAATGTTGGTCAATGTTCCATTTATTATGGTTCCAAAGCAGGTGAACAGGTTTCCACTGTTAAAGGAACTCAGTGTTTCGGCTGTTTTGCAGTTTTCTGGACGTTTGTTCCAGATTAGTGGAGATTAAAAACTAAAAGCTGCTTCTCCAAGAATCAAAGTGCAGAACAAATAAAGAACAAGAACTGAAGAAAAAGAACATAATAAATAGTCTCAGTTCTATTTATTTTATGCAGATGACATATTTGAAGGTTTTCAACTAATAGATTTTAGGGAATCAAGTTATTTGCGCTATGCTGTTATATTCATTTACTTCTCATAGATTTTATTAACTGGGATTCTGTGCAATATTTAGAAGTACAAAATTACATAGAACTCATTGCTTTATATTTTTTAAGTCTTTAGTGTAAAGAAGAACTGAGGATACGATCAATCTGAAGTTGGTTTTGTTTTTATGCTTTTAGGAGGATCCAGCATCAGTTTTACTGATTTTTCTTTTCCGTTGTGTTTGGTGTTTTAGCTCCTGATGGTTATATTGTTACTTATATATAATGTTTAAAAATTATTTTAAAAAAATGTTAAATAAATGTGAATTAAAGGACAGCTGACTGTTGCAGAAGGACATGAGGAACACCAAACTCAACAGAAATTTAATTTTAAGGTTTATCTTATGCTTTGAGACGCCACTGGTTTAGAAACCAAACAAATTAATGATTCTTCAGAAAATGATCATATACTGCAAAGAAAGAGTCCAAAGAGAAACGTTAGGCCCTCAGAAAGTCTGAAAAACAACGGAGCAGTTCAGCGTCAAAAGATTTCATGAAATTCTGTCTAATGTTAAACAAATTAGAAACATTTTCACACAGTAACACCTTCAGCTGAAGCACAGATTCTATGATTTCTGATTTTTTTCTCATTAATCAGGTCTAAGAGTGTTACTGTGCAAAGCACAACGAGCTACATTAGTGATGAACATGTGGGATGATTCAGAGGATCAGAAGAAGCTTTTTGAACTCGTCGTCTTATTTCGTCTGCAGTGTCGGTAAATAAGTCGACCTGGTTTCAGGGTTTTCCCTCCTCAGGCGTTTCTCTCCAGGCAATCAACAAGCTTCTGGAATGTCATCCACCTGAGGAGCAGTATTTTTATTTTGCCTCAGGTTGTTGTTATTCTGCCATTTATTAATCAGCAGAACGCAGAAATTTAATCTAGGTAGCTATTTTTAATGGTATTTAAATTATTAAAGAAGGAAATGAAAAGAAGAAATAATTATTCATTTGCACCGTGTGAAGACATAAAAGCTTCAGTTGTTGAAGTTCATGTATGATTACATAATTATGTGAAATTCTCCCAAGGTGTCATTTATTCAAATTTAGCAGCTCACCCTTAATAAAATGTTCTGTCGTTTGAAAAGGTGAACTGGATGTAATCTCTACCAGTCGCTTTTGATCAGTTTCCCAATAATAACTCAAGATTACAGAGAATTTATTTTACTTTGAGGTGGGAGAGAACTGGTACGGGAGCTGAGAGCGGACATTTTTACTTTTACTGATGGCTTTCTTGAGATAACGAGTTAAATTTAGACATTTTGAGAAAACTGGATGTTTGTCATTATGTGAAGAAAACCATCTGAAAAACAATAAAACCAGTTCACTGCCTCCATGTTCAAACCAGACTGGGTCGCGCCAAATTCAGAGAAACGATCTTGGTGTCGGTGCATCACAACGCTTTTTATTTTTTTATTGCTGCTTCTCTTTCCATCCAGGATCTTCTCTCTTCACTGGGATTATTTTGCACCTCGGCCTTAAATAACTTGCAGTGGGAGGATTTTTTTATCTGTTGTTCAGAAGATGACCTGGAGTCAGGACTCCAATGCTAACAGCTAGCATTAACAGCGTTTCAGTTCATCACTGTTTCGGTTCAAACCTGGGCCAGCGCCGCTCGGTATGGACCCGTCTTATTCTTCCTCTTCCCAAACATTTAGCTGCCGGAAGCACATCCTCCTCTAACAGGAATGACCTACATTTCTGCCTTTTTCTCTGGATTTCTCTATTTCTAGTGGAGGAAAATTAGGACTCACAAAGTCAGCAGAGGAAACAAAATTCAACAAGATTCAGAACCAGAATTCATTCTGATAAATCGCTGTTAGGATAAAACTTGCCTTTTTCACACACTCGTTTGATGCAAACCCCTAAAAACATTGAAATGTTCTGACTTAGAGAAGCAACATATGTTCACGACTTTGATGCTTTGAGGAGGAGTTTATCAAAAGCAGCCATCAAAGTCTGCAGAACATTGAGTTAAAGTTTATGTCTGATGTAATTCATTTGTGAAGCAGGACAGATGTAGCGAGCTGAATATGGGATCATTTCTCATCCAAAGTTTTGTTTTGTTGTATTAAAGCAGCAGCGTTTCAAACCTCTTAGTGCTGATTATAAGTTAAAAACACAAACATTTGGTGTCCAGATGCCATCAGTCACAGAAAAACCGATTTCTACTCACCCATTCAGTGTTTTTTCAGTAATTGTTCATGAATTGTGGCAAGCATGAGCAACTTTCAGTGTTTACCTGGGTTGCATTTTGAGAAAGTTTTTGATTCCAAAGGTCGTTGAAAAGACCAAGAGGAAAACTGTGCTGATCGAGGGATGAAATCTGTGCTGTGGTAATAATAGATTTAAATGTCAGTTTACTAGTGAAAAGGTCGGATGGCCTCAGTCCCTCAGGGAGAGTTTCTTATCTAATATGTCGACCTTACTTCAGACAACATAAGATGTGGTTCAGTTTGCTCATGTCGGCTTTAGGGAAAAACAAAAGAAACATTCTTGTTGGAGAAATGTTATAAACCGAGTGCAGTTCCTTTATGTTTCTGGTTTAATTGATGACAAGTCAGGTTTTTCTCACTGACACTGATTTCTGTTTCTTTTTGACAGCTGACCAAACTAAGTCAGAAATTCAGATTTTACTTCTCTTTTAACTGGTTTCAACACATAAAACTCATTTATTGAAACTTTGTAATTCAGCAAAATGTGGTGCATGTTTCCTGATGGTAGTTTTGAATCCAAATGAAAGGAGGACATTAAAATACCTTTCACTAAACTGAGGACTTTGAAACATAAAAAACAGAAGATCAAATACTGAAGAATCAGTTTTTGATCTCAGAGCTAATCAGGAGAAAATGGTCAATTTCAGTCTCGATTTCTGGCCAATTAATGCGTCTTATAAGCGACCAAATTAATCTTATGAAAACCATTTGGTTTGGGAGCCTTTCGGTGCTGGAATGATTCATATGTGGGTTAGAAACCAGAGATCCGGCTGGAACCTGGGAGCAGTGATGAAATCGGACCTGAACCTCAGTTCCTCTGATAAAAACCTGTTTAGAGCTGCTTTTCATTCATAACTGGAATGTTTCAGAATTGGTTACTTTGTCATGTTTTTATGGTGTAAAGCATTTTGAACTGCCTTGTTGCTCAAATGTGCTAAACTAATAAACTCGACTTTACTTTTGCAGCCAAAACAGTTAAATAAAACGACTGTGAAGCTCCACTTTAAAAGCCGACTGGTTGGAAACAAAGACAACTTATCTTAACACTTTTACACAGTTTAAAATGGAGTCGACACAAAACTTTGTCACAAATTTCCTGGAAAGTCTCGATCTCCCCTGAATCAAATCATTTGGTAGTAACCCACATCTCCCATCGTCGGCCCCGAGGCGGCGCAGTAACAGCTGTTTGTGAAACTCATCTCCCATGTGTGACCTTGTCCTCCTCCGCCGCTGCAGGCTGGGCATGGAGCACGACGGCCAGGGAAACCGCTGCGGGGACGAGACGGCGATGGGCAGCGTCATGGCGCCGCTGGTGCAGGCGGCCTTCCATCGGTACCACTGGTCCATGTGCAGCGGACAGGAGCTGAAGAGATACATCCAGTGAGTTCAGCTTTCAGCTCTGAATATAAACACGTGAAGAGAAGGAAACATTACCAGAGCGTCTCCTACGACACACACCGCCTCTCCTTTGGCTCTTTTACATCCATAAATATTTAATATTTTTGTTGCAGCGCCCAGAGGAAATAAAGCGTTTTTACTCACTCACTGAATTAAACAATATATAACATATAGACTTCTTTGAGTAAAACAGGAGCAAAGATTTGTTAAATTCTGAGTTTTCTGTATTATAACTGATAAACAAATTCCACCTGTTACTGTATAAGTTAATCTATTTCATGAATTTTATCACAAAGTGAAACATATTTTATAGATTAATTACACAGATGGATGAACCAACCTTAATTTTGTTACACCATAAACAGATAGTGGGACAAAAACTGAATATAAATGTTCTGTTATCTTTTTAAATGTCAGCTTGTATCCAAACCTCAACAGTTTCTGTTTATCTCTCATCGTCGTTCATAATTTAAAACGGGAACCAGATTCCTGGCATCTGCTCATGAATAAAAATAAACTCTGGATGTTGAGGTTTACATGTTTCTGGACTCACAGGATTAATTTGTCTTAAAAACATAACAGCAGATATCGGTGACAGTAGGCCATCAATCACAGTGTAATCCTGACCAGTCTGCACCTTTTTCATGCAAAACAGACAAAAACATGAAATTCTTCACGCCCCGTTTTGGAGCTGTTGATGTAACATGCATCATTTATTTTTGGGACGGTTTAATGTTGAAAAAACAACTTTAGCTTCCTGAAAGCTCACCTGCCAACATAAGTAGCTTTGCAGCAGTTTATTGTGTATTAATGTTACAACATTTATGATGCCACAGCAAATTTTCTGTTTTTGCATTTAAGATCAGAATACCCAGCCTAGAACTCATTTTCCTTTTTTACTTTCTGCTGGTTTCTGGTAATTATACGAGTTAATAAACTTGTATAATTCACTCACCCACTCTTCCTATTCATCCTGTTCGTATCCCACCCATTCACACAACGGACATCTCTTACTGACATCTCTTTATGGGAGATGTTTGTATAAAAAATGGCCTTTTAAAGAGCCGGGTGTGCATACTTATTATAACACGTGAAAACCGTTTGCAGTGAAAAACTGAGACTATTAAAGAGGCCAGTCTCTGGTGTAATTCACCATAAGGTTATATGCTGAGCGACAGAACACACACACACACACACACACACACACACACACACCCCGCTGTGCTTTTCTCAGAATATGTGTCAGCAGCTATTTTAACTGATAACAACAGGTTAGAGTTTTGTAAAATTGCCCCCCTGGCTTCATGTATTTACTTGTAAATATTCATTATTCTCCCATTTAAAAAACACAAATAAAACCTTAAACTTTAATTGAGCTAACTGTGCAGTCTAATTAATGAATCCCATTTTAATTTAAAATACAGAAAATTTTCCATCACAAAAACCCTTTTTGCTGCTAAATTATAGAATAAATAGACATATGAGCTCAACTACAGAGATATTTATTGTTTTTAATTCATTCACCCATCAGATTGGTGCAAAGTGCTGCTTACCCATTCAGCTCCTCGTCATTCATGGAGCTTCTTTGGAAATGTGGATGCTAACATTAGCATTAGCATCTCTGCTACATGTTATCATTGAGATGCTATCTTAGGTTGGAACAGCTTTGCTGGTAGGCTAACTCCTTTTAGCCCAACTTGAACATAGCAATAGTCTTCTCCAGCGTCCCATCAGATCGATTTTCAAAGCAGAGATTAATCCAACAGAAGCGGCTTCGTCGCCCGTCACTGTTAGCGGATGTAGCTTGTGCGTTAGATTTACTGGCGTACCAGAAACACAATCAAAAGGTTCCACACAGGACTCCATATTGAACCTGTAATCTCAGGTTTCTGACCTCCCTGAAGCACAGCCTTGTTTCATTTCCTTACAGAACCTATGACTGTTTGCTGGACGACCCTTTCAAACACGACTGGCCTCAGCTTCCTGAACTCCCCGGCATCAACTACTCCATGGATGAGCAATGCCGATTCGACTTCGGAGTGGGATACAAGATCTGCACCTCGGTGAGTCAATCCCTGAAGCTGTCCGCCTGCCCACAGAGTATATTCACCATCCCAAAACCATGTACTAACTGCCAGGATACAAACCGAGACCAAGACAAGACCAGAGACCCATTCTATATGATACAAGAAAATGGGAAAAAATAAAAACCACTTGGATACTCGGAGGAATGTCATTATTAATTCAAGCTATTCTTTGTTCTGCATCACAGTCAAACTATGCCGTAATGTGAAGTCATCCAGCGTACAGGAACCCAGAAACCTGTTGAGAAAGTTGTTACTATGGAAACGTGTTTAAAAACTAAGTTATTCAGGTCCCGTCCGTCACTTTTAGACTCATTGCAATAAGTTAACATTACGTGCTAAACCTTAAATGTTTGCCTTACATAAGAAAGGCTACTAATTGTAGCAAAACTCTACAATTAGTACTGTTTTGCTACTAATTGTCAACACTAACAACTAGATAACAAGGTCAGGAGAAAATTTTAATTTAAAAAATAAATAAGAAGGAAAGGGAAGTAGGTCAGCTATGCTAGCTTGACTTTGACAACCTTAACATGTAGATGTGCTGCAGAATTCACAATGTTTCAGCTCAAACAAAAAAACGTGACACACTGTTGTTGCGCAACACCCCCCCCCCTTCTCTCTCTCTCTCTCTACTTCCCCTTGTCAGAGGAGGGAGATGTGCTACCAGCTCTCCGTCTAACGGGTGAATTGAGTTTCCTAAATCTGCCGAGATTTACCCTACCCAGAACTGAAGTAAACTCTGTTTAAGCTGGGTGCGAGAAAGACTAGCCTGGTTTCTAACGACCTCCATCCAGATGTCCCACCCTTTTTCACTCTGTGAATTAGCCAGATAGAGCAGCCCAGAATCAGCTAGTTTCACAGAGCACACCTGTTAACGGTCGCTCTTTCTCTTATTACAACTTGCACTTGTTACTGAACCAGGTTGGTTTTAGTGACTCGGGCACACACACGCACACACACACACACACACACACACACACACACACACACACACACACACACATCAACTCTCTGACAGATCATCGGTAGAGCAGGTTTTTAATTAATTGGCCATCGTTGTGTTCAGACGATCACTAATTAATAATCACAAAAGTAAACATCAAACCTGAAAACATAAAACTGCGGCAGATTAAATGTTTTGTTCTTTCTGCGTTAAATGTTTGTGTGTTTGTTGGTGTTGAATCCTGATGCATTAGTGGAGCTGTTGTCAGTCAGTTGCTATGGCAACGGCTACGTGTAGCATAGTCGACAGAGGATAAAGAAAAATACAATTGGTTCTGAGTTGTTCTTGCAGACGGGTAGTTGGGCGCAGTTTCAGCCGTCTCTGAAAGCAAATCACACGTCACTGTTTGGTTTCTAATGGATTTTCACAGATTTAGTTTTTATGATTTATTACTGACATCTTGTTCCGCTCCCAGATAAACCCCAGCGCTTACAAAAACACGTAATTAGCAGTGAGTCACGTTATTGCTTAGATTTGAATCGATACATTTTGCATCTAATGAAAGCAGGGATATTAGCAAGTTGAACAATATTGTAGTAGTTTAGTGATATTTCTACAGTTGAAGTGTTGAAATAAATCCAGTCTCTTCGACCAAAACTGGTCTCAGAGTCCTGCAACTCTGAGTGGCGTTGCATCAAAAGGAGGAAAGATGGGCTCTGTTGAGGATTCAGTCTCTGCTTTGAGAGAAATGAAATATTTTCCTCTTCAGACCTTTATTTTATGCCTTAAAAATGGCAGCAGAGACGATCCGGAGTTCCAGAAAGTCCTGCAGGAGCTTTCCGATGACAGCCTTCAGAGACTCTGACATCTAGATGTGAGCAGACTCAGGAGCAAAACTGGACGTGTTGGCAAGCAGCTGATGTGGTCATCTGCTCATTTCACCATGTCTCCGCCTGGCAGGCCGCGGACAGCGTGCCACTCAGCCTGTCACTGTTTACTGTCATCACGTCGTTTGGGTGGCGACGCTCGTTAGGCGCTGGTGTAACTTTAATTACTTATTTTCCTCAATTTTAGTAACTTTTTTTGTAATATTGGGAGTTCATAAAGTTTTCTCGTTTTAGACGTTTCAAAAGCTGGGAAGTGATTTCAGTTTCTTTTCATGGAAACGTTTTTCCTTCTGCTGTAAAATAAATTAACCTTACGCTGCACATCTGATGATGACTTTTATTGCGCCTTCTGAGCCTTGGTTGTGTTTTAATTTGAAGCTTCTTTCAGTGTTTCGGGTTTCCTAGCAGGTTGAAATCATGACCAGTGGTGATTTTCAGACCTCGGGGTGTTTTCTCTTTCCTAGTTATTTTGGAGGAATGCATTTGTTCGGGGTCTGAACCGAAACCTGGAGGGTGAGTGACTGAGATCGTGATTTGATGACTAACTGTTTGAGGTTAGATTTAGGCTGACATCGCTGTTGAATCATGTCAGATCGAATGTATGCCTTCAGTCGGTCCGCTCCTGCACTTAACTGGATCTTTTTGTGCATCTCATCCAAACCTTCATGGTGAATTTGAGCTCCTACCATCTGGACAGAGAGTCAGGAAGCCTTAATGCAGAACCAACAGACGGAAAAACAGGTTTATTATTCAGGCAGTTATTCTGACACATTTAAAATGTGATTGCTTTGTCTCTTTGGTCTAATCATTTTTAATTGGAGTTTCATTTACTGTTTGTGCCAATCGTATATAACCAAGTTAAAACCATAAAATACACAGAAACAAAGAAACGTTCCCTGTAGGGCTGGGCAGCTCCAGGCCGGGAGGGCCGGTCTCCTGCAACTTATAGATGTGTCTCTACTTCATCACACGCGAGTCAAATAATGAGGTCGTTAGCAGGACTCTGGAGAACCTGACTGCACTGAGGAGGAGATTCAGCTGTTGGATTCAGGTGTGTTGGACCAGGGAGCTGCAGGACTCCGGCCCTCCAGGACCAGGACTGCCCACTCCTGCTGTAGGGACAGTAATGAAGTGATGGAGTATTTGGGCCAAATTAAGTTCTGCCAAAAATGTCTGAAATTTTTAGATTAATTTCACATCTTTACAAAAAAAACAACTTTGTTGAAAAGATATAAATTTGCCTGAAAAAGATTGAAGTTCCCCATAGTTAAAACTTGTAAGCGTCATTGTGAGACCAAAAACTCAGAAGGTTTTATAGATTATAAAGTTATTTTCAGCATAAAATAGGTGGAAGTCCTCTAAGATTGAAATATTAAACTTCGGAAATGCAAATCTGAATGTTTTTCCAAAGACCAGAACTCCATTCTGCTGATCAATAATCAATTTGGCTGTTATTGTTTATTTAAACCACATCTACAGTCAGTTAAATACCAGCCAGGCTTGTCAACACTGACTGATGTTACTTACCTTTTTATGTATTTATTTATTGGAAAATGTCCTGTGATTTATTTGAACAAAAGCTCAAAGTTTTGTCCTAATGCAGTTTTTCCTCGTGGTTTTTCCAGCAGACGTTTGGTTTTAAATGTTGATGGAGGCTATCATTTATTTTCTTGTGAATCGCACCATCTGTTATATTGGAAGCTGAGATTTTTTCTGAGTAACAACAGATGGAAAACAGCTTTAGGCTTTAGGTATTTACATATTCATTAATATGCACTGTACATGCTAAATAAATTATAAAAATAAAAGTAAAACTGGATCTCGTTGGGATCATTTGTCCCATTTCAATTCCCTCTACAACTGACTTTTGTTGTGATTTGCCTAGTTTTGAATGAAAACTGTAAAAACAGTAAATAAGCACATATTTACTCTCCTCACAAAAACATGTAAAAATTAATGTGACTTTCATCATAAAGGGAAAAAATCCAAAGAGATTTTGTTGCTGTAGCAGAAGTGCAGCCTGGAGCTCTTGGAGAATCTGAGAATATATTGAATTTCAAATGTCAGAAATCAAGAATTCAGGTTAAGCAGAACAATTTCTAGATAACTTTAAGAGGTGCAAACTATGTCACAAAACGACACATCGTCTTTAAATGTGGTTAGTAAATAACAGATTAATTTCTGAACATGTGGAAAATGAGACGTTGTGAGGCAGAAAGTCAGAAAACAGAATTTAATCAGAATCACTGAACATACGTTAAGCTGCCATGTCAGCCTGTGTCTGATTCAGTCTGTTCGTCTGGTTCATTGCTCTCTCCGCTGCTCCTGCGTTCCTGGTTTGATTTTTCATTTGTGTTTTTCGTGAAAGCTGATGATTCATGCCGTCCTCCAGCGGCGAGCCGTTCTGACATAAAGGACTGCTGGCAGCCAATCAGGGCCGCCGGCGCCTAACAGGATGTCAGCGCTGAACGTCCTGTCCAGCTTTGGTCTCCAAAAGGATCCCATTGTTTCGCAGTCTAGTTCTGCATCTGTTTGACATCTTCTCCATTTTGATTTTACTCTGTAAACTTCTTCTCGTTCACATTTAAAAGCGCTTTTCCCTACGAAGGAGTACAAGAGCCATCGGAAAGAATAAAATACAGCCACGTTACATTTCTGACAAGAAACTCAGCAACTTCTAGGTTAACTTCACATATTTAAAGAGAAAAAATGTAGATATTCTGTCAGTTTGCAAAAACAAGTAACATTTTATGAAATTAAAACTGTCTGAGATTGTAAATATCTTCCAAAGTTTGGATGTGAGATCTGGGATCCTTTCTGTCAGAATGACATATTATTAGTGTTAAGATCCGTGTTTTTGTGTGTTTATTTTTGAGTTTTCTGTGTTCAGTCCTGTTTCCTTGTGTGTCTCTGTCCTGTCCTCCCCGCTGATTGCTCCCCAGGTGTGTCTCATTCCCTTAATTACCCCGTGTGTATTTAAACCCACCTGTTGTCTGTGTTCCTTGTCGGATCCTCGTCGTGTGTGCCGTCGTATGTATTGTGGTTTGTGTTTGTTCCGTCTAGTCCGTTTGACAGTTGCTACCGGTATTTAGCTGCGTGCTTGTTCCTGCCGTGCTGCCTGCCTTGGACTGTTTGGGTGCTTATTCATCATTAAACCTTCATCATCACCATAACCTGGGTCTCAGCGTCTCTCCTCACCACCAACAACCTCACACCTTATGACAATTAGTACTTTAAAAAAAAAAGTCTTGATCTACCAGCTAAACTTTTAAAATATCCAGATTCACATCTCAGAAATTTAGCTCTTCAACTTCTGGCATTTTGTTCCTGCATATTTCTTAGTTGTAATTTTGTAAATTCATCATTTTAACCAATTATCAACTTTTTCTTGCAAATTTACAACTTTCCCACTTCAGAGAATATCCACGTTTTTTCTTTTGAATATGTGAAATTAATCTGAAAAATGTTGTCATGAACGAACACATTTCCACCAGAAAACTAAGAATAATTTCACATATTTGAAAGAATAAAAGACATAGATATTCCCTGGGCATCAATTTAACTATTTACAATATTAAAACTAGGATATTCTGTAAGATTATAAAGTCAGATATGTGTAAGAAAAAAAACACACATGTGGAAAATGTATATATACCAAAATGCAGGTGTTGATCTGGGCTGTTTCCTGGGTCCAGTCTGTCATTAAGGTGAAAAATCCCAAATACCTGCAGATCCCAACGGCCTCCGGATGATAAAGTTCACTCCCAACTACAAACTTGTTCATAAAGTCTCCTACCAAAGAGTTGCTCAGTGTCCCTTAAAGAATCCTCTCTAATTAATCTGATAATCTGCTCTGATCCCTGAAATATGGCAGCTACATCTGCAGAAAATCTCAAGATTAAGATCCAAGCAGAGAGAAACTTCTTCATCCTCCATTATTGTTGCTGCGTCGTTGTTCAGATAAAGAGAAATTCACCTGAAAGTCCTGCTGACGTTTGCCATATATTAGTGGCTTTAATTAGAGCTTTAACCTGGTTTAATTAAAAAAGTAAAACACACAAAAAGCTTCTTCCATTGGCAGATTATTTTACTTATTACAAGACATTTTCCCAAATTATAAGTGAAATAATCTGCCAATGAATTAAGTACTTTTTCATGAATATTAAGGAAGTATTGACATAAAACAACTTAGCTTTGTCTCATTTCAAATGCACTGATATTTACACTAGAAACTAGATAAAAATAAGGAAGATTTTGTGTTTTTGCAGCGTTTTTTTAATGCATTTAAAATAAACTGCATTTGTTTGAATTAAAAAATTTGGGTTATTATTGCTGATAATTACTAAAGAAATCTCCTGACATGACCTTTTGTTTCTTTCTTTCCCTGTGTTTTAGTTTCGGACGTTTGACCCGTGCAAACAGCTTTGGTGCAGTCACCCTGACAACCCGTACTTCTGCAAAACCAAAAAGGGCCCGCCTCTGGACGGGACCGAGTGCGCTCCAGGAAAAGTAAGATCCGCTTACTGGGAGGCTTCAATGGGAGGTTTGGCAAAAATATTTCTAATTCATCCTGCAAGTTTTTTCCCCTCTAATCCACAAGAGAGCAGGTGAGCCGCAGCGCTCATCCAGCAGGAAGCGAATCCTGAGTCTGGGTTTGTGCTGAGCAGTGAGGCAACCTGGAAAACGATGTCTGCACTATATGAGCCAGGTTTGCTGAAATCAGGCTCCATTGTCTTGACTAAGTTGAAAAGAATCCTTCAAAAACACGTTTTTATAAATTTTACTATTTAATTATTAACAACAAAGGGAATAGTTAGGATCAATTATGTCTGAGTGCAGCAGCATGGCGCTTTACCCAGGGATTCAGAGGGAATAAAAAATGATGCACCAGCTGCAAAGCGGCAGGCGAGTTCAAACTCACAAAGATTAGAAACATAAAAAAAACTAGATACATTTACAACATATTAAAAAATACTGGAAAATGCTAAAAATTACACATGTGCAACTGAACAGGATTTAAAAACTGTGTTGAGCCAAACCTGACTTTAGTTCATCGCTCTGGAAAAAACTTAAAATGTATAATTGATCCATTTTCTGTAGCTCCATAAGAGAGAGGTCTATATCCAGCAGTCAGTGGGCTGCAGGCAGGAGGCAGCGCAACAGGTTGCCAAGTCATTACAGAGCAACGTAGAAACATAAAGTATAAACACACACACACACACACACACACACACACACCTACCTATCAGTTATTTAGAGCGGCCAGTGAACTTAACATGAATGTTTTTAGAGTGTGGGAGGAACTCTGAGAAAACCCACACATTTACTGCAAACTCCATGTATAATTCAAACATAATTCATTCTTGTTGCACGGCAACAGGCAACACTAACTACACTGTAAAAATATTTCAGTTGTACTTTAAGTAAAAAAAAAACATCTTGCAAGTTTTATATTTTAAACTTAAATGTGTGAGTTTGTGACAGATAAATGCACAGTGGTAAATTGTGTTAACTCTTTTATTCATTTTGTCAAATGTCCAAGAGTTGAGCACTGAAGAACAAACTATTTCCCATGATCGACCTTTTGAGAAAAACAGCAGCAATGAACGGAAACAATTAAAAGTCTAACTTTTGTGCAAAAACACCAAATTTGACTAAGTGTTTTGCTTTTTTTCTAGTGCAAATGTCCTGTACACTTAAAATTAAACAAAACTAACTTACAACAAACTTTTCAATGAGAAATAGGAGCTTGTGTTTAGTCAATAATTCCTTAATATAGATAAAAAGTGCTAGTTCTACTGGCAGAATATTTTTTCACTTATAATGCGACAAAAATGTCTTGTGTGGAAAAAAATGCGACGAATTTAAGGAATTATTGACTTAAAATGTTTTCCTCTTGATGAAAAGCTACTTGTAAGTTAGATTAGTCATATTTTGAGTATTATGATATTTTTCATTAAAACGATACGATATTTGGTGTTTTGCAGCATAAAATCAATCAGTGTTTTGCTAATGACAGTTTGAAATCACTTGTCTCATACTGTCGAGCGTTTTAGCTCTGAAATGTCGTGAAGAGTTGCTTGTGTTTTATTTCTTGCTGAGGACATAAATGTGTGATCTTACTGTAGCGTGCCTCATGTTTTCTGCCGCCTCTCTGTCGTCGTGTTTAGTGGTGCTACAAAGGTCACTGCATGTGGAAGAACCCCAACCAGCTGAAGGTGGACGGCGCCTGGGGCTCCTGGAGTAAATTCGGCTCCTGCTCTCGGTCCTGTGGAACCGGCGTTCGCTTCCGGACGCGCCAGTGCAACAACCCGGCGTAAGTAACGGGACGCAGGCAGCGTCAGACCTCAGAGAAGATTACTTGACATGAAAAACCAGAGCTAATCTGTGTAAGCATTTAGTCCTTAAAGAAGTTCTGCTTCTTAGTTTGTTTTCAGTCGGTGTAAAAATCTTCAGCTGCAGAAACTGACCGGATTAGAGATGAGCTTCTGTAACAAATAGTGATTTATTCTGATCCTTATATGTTAAACGTTTACTGCTATTTAAAAAGATAAATTAAAAAGTTGAAGTAAGCAGCAGAATTAAAAAAATGAAAGAGGAATAAACAACTTCGTAGAGTTCTTAATTAAAGCTGAATTCCTTACGGACTCATTCGTCCTCTGCAGTGAAACCAGAGCTGATGAGACAGTCGGGGTAAATAGAGTCTTTATGCAAAGATTTGCATAATGAGTTCAGTGAAGATTAATTCCTGTGTGACTAATGTTGGCATTTTGTTATTAAAGAATCACAAATGTTCCATTTCTGCACTTTAAACCTGAAAGGGAGAATTAATTTAAGCCATGATGTCAGATGAGTTTTCTGCTTTTGAACTTAATTACAAGAGAAAAAGAAGAAGACATCTTTGTTTTGGTTGTCAGAAGATAATCGGGCTAATATTCGTCTCTCACTGTGCTGTAGACAAACTTTTCCTTTTTGGTCTCAGATGTCCAAAAGACTTTTTTGCAGAGCATTAAACTGCATAATTAAAGTTTTATCTATTTTGTGTTACCTTGTGAGACATGATGAACAGAAAAGAAGAAAACGACAGGAAGTAGTTTGTCACGCCATGTTTTTACGCATGAACAAACTTATTCAGGTGTGATTTTAATCGTGTTTCTTATCAGCAGAATATTGACCAAGTCGTATTGGGCAGCTTCTGACTGGTGAAGGAAATCTGCAATCAAACATGTTTATTGTCCTTTTAAATGGAGACAGCAACAGCTGTGCACCAACTTCCTGTTCCATGTACTTTAAGTGACACAGCGCCCCCAGAGGTGAGGTGCAGTACTGCTCTGCCTCACCCCAGACTACTTTCTTATATTTGAACAGGTAACAAGCAAATTTACCATAAAAATTTAAATCACACAGAAATAAATGTATTTAACAATGAAGTGGACAAACTGATCATCTCTTCTGATTTTACTTGACATGACTGTGGCTGTCCAGTGACTGTCCTCACTGGTTTCTAGCAGAAACTGAAAGAAAAGGTGATTTCATCTGGCTGGTCTCGCTGCTCTTCATTGGCTTAAAATGCTTTTGATGATCTGTACCCATTTCTTATTACATATTTTGAACTTTTGAGTTGAAAGATGGCGACTTTTCTCTCTCTTAGCATGACTTTTCACTAGTGGTGGTCATCTCAGTCACATTTGAATATCAACACTGAAGTGATCCAAAGCGCTTCAGGGGAAGCATTTTTCTCTCTTTGTATTTCAAATAACAATTTGTTTTCCCACCAATCCCTCTGATGCTGATCCATCTCCCTCCCACAGACCCTCCAACGCCGGCCAGGACTGTCCTGGAGTCAACTACGAGTACCAGCTGTGCAACACAAACGAATGCCCCAAGCACTTTGAAGATTTCCGAGCCCAGCAGTGCCACGATCGCAACTCCAACTTTGAGTTCCAGAATGCCAAACACCACTGGCTGCCGTATGAGCACCCCGACGGTAAGCCAGGGAAACCGGCAGCCTGCTGCTGCAGCGGGATGAAAATCAACGGTTTGGTGATGTGGCTTCAGGCTGAACCGAGGGGATCATTCACCGCCTTGTAAATAGTGTTTATAGCTGCACTTTGATAAAGAATATGTCTTTACATGTTTGTTAAAAATGCCAGGAATCGTCCATCCTGAGCTGCTATAACCTTCTGAAGAAACGCACCATTCACAGAGTAACTAGTTACATTTACTCAGTTATATTTTCTTGAGTAACTTTAAAAAAATAATTTTATCATGAATTATTTTTACTCTTGAGTAACATTTCTGGATTTTCTACCCACCAAATGAAAATCCTGTTTTAACCAAAAATTCACCAGACTCAGACACACACCTGCAGCTTTTGTTAAAGTTTTATAAGTTTTTATTGAAAGAAATTAATTTAGAAATATTTATTTTGCCTGATTTTATTTTACCAAAATTTCCATTTAACTTTATATTTTGATTATGTAATTTCTAAATATTAAATGATTGATAGTCTGATCAGTTACTCATTACTTGTTTAGACTTTTTACCAAATACTTTTTAAATTTTACTTGAGTAAAAATATGTTGAAGTAGTGCTACTCTTACTTAAAAACAGTTTTTAGATACTTTACCGAACTCTGACAACTAAAAACAACCAATCAGAGCCAGGAGGCGGGTCTTAGTGCTGTCAATCATACTTGTTTATGCGCTACTAAATGTGCTAATGGTGGAGAAACAACTTTGGCTCACCTGAGATGAAGCAGAGAGCCAGAATGAGATTGTTATCAACACATACACAAGCATGATTGACAGCATTAAGACCCTCCTCTTGGCTCTGATTGGTTGTTTTTATGCATTTCGTCAGAGAAGGAGATCGATCTTTTCACAGATTATCTTTCTTATGTTATTCTGTCATAGTGACAGTTTTACCAAATAAGTAAAAGACCTTTTAGTTTTTATAAAGGTTACGTACCGCAGCTTCAAACTTTATAGCAGTTTGTTCTATTATCACCACCAGGTACAATGCATTGTTCTAAAATTTAATGCGGGAGACCATAGAGTGGAGGATGATTGAGAAGAGGAAGGATTCAGGTTTACTGTTTGGTGCATCAGAGTCAGTAAAAATCGGCTTTTTGTTTCATTTCCATCTATGAATCTTTAGACAGCCGAAGTTTTGCAGGATGACAAATATTATCAGGTTTTGTTTGTGACCACATATATCGTTTTACATGTAGTTTACATAATTTTTTCTCATGTTCTCTATAAAACTATCTTTATATTGAAATAAAATTATCTGAATTCTGAAAACAATCAGTGGCGCTTTTAAGTAGCAATTAAAAATAGCTGAATATCATATACATTCTACCTTCTTTTATAGATTATTTTGAAAAAAATATATTAATCACGTTCGCACAGTTTACAGTTATGCATTGCTTTGTGTAGGTCTGACTCATAAAATCCCCCAAATTACAAATTTGAGTTCTGTTGTTGACAAAGCATCACAACACAGGCAGAAACACTTTGACAAAGTGAGACAATGTATTCTCCAAACACATTGTACTTTTTCTTCAATGTTTTTCACATTTTCACTGCTTGTTCTGCTTTGTACAATTTAGAGCCATCTTTAAAATTCACCCTTTGCTTCAGGATGATGATCCCTGTTTTGCTGCTGCATCACACATAATTGTCTATTTCGTAGCAGAAAATGTTTTTATCAGACTCCACTTTATGGAGCTCTTTACACCTGCAATGGTCTGGAGAAGCAAAGCTTCTTAACAAATAATGCAGTTTAATCCACTGAGGGAGTGGAAGGGAAGCAGGTGGAAAAGTGAAAGTCCACAGAAAACTGGGGGCTTTGAGAAATCTGTGCACAATTTAACAAAAAGAGGATAAAGAAAAGTTTAAGACGATCCAGATTTTTGTCAGTCAGTTCAAGGTTTGGAGAACCTGTTGGGTTTAGATATTCTTAAATTGTTTTTTATTTATTTGTTTTAAATGTCTTAAAATGTTGCAGATGGAGTTTTAGGACCATTGATGATTAAAAATAAAATCTGACCGAAGATTAAATAGAAAATATGCAGATGCATCTCCTAAATTTCTCTTCTTTTTTTTAATAGAGATTTATTTGACATAAATAAATACATATATGTAAAGTGCCACACATATATGGTGTGGCACTTTACATCAATAAACAAAGAAAAAGAAACATAAAATGTTTAATTAATTAATATATTTACTACCTGCTGTTTTTAATCTAGGTAAACTTTTGAGTTTCTTTTTTTCTGGCTTTACGATTTCTAAATATATATGAAATTTATGCCTTTAAATATGGAAAAATTTAATTTTTTTATGGTTTTCTTTTAAATATGGGAAATTAATCTTAAAATTTAGCAAAAATGTACTCTCCTGTGACCAATTATTATTTTTTATTTTAGTTGTAATACCCCCATGTCGTACCAACACGATCATGTATTTTCACCATAAACTCCATCAGTTGTTTGTGTTTTATTGGTTTATATGATTATTTTCAGATCTCTTCATGCTTCAGTTCAACACTGTGGTGTTTGGCTGTTTGAAAGGATCAATATGACACAATTTCATGCCACTGCTGTGTCAAATCTACATTATATTAAGTGGAAATGGGTTTATTTTCTATGTGGCTCCTGACACAATATGTCGTCTTATTATGTGTCTGGCAGGTCATCTTGTCGACTTGACTATCAAATTATCTTTTATTCCCACATCAGATGGGTTAGAAATTGGATAATAACTTCCAATTTTGTCTGGCATCTGCTTTTGTGATATTTAAAACATATTTATTTGGAGTTATCTTATTGAGATTGGATCCAAAGAAGCAATAACTGCACAAGCAATCTAGGAAAATAATAATATTGAAAACATTTAGCACACTTAGCTTACAGTAAGTTGTATTTTCTAGATAAGTGCTAAATTATTTGGCTGTTTTGCAAACTTTCAGTTGACCTCTGTGTGGAATATTTGGTATCAACTAAAATTAGCGCTTTAGCATTAGCTTCCTCTAACCACTCTGTTGGTGTTGTGCTCTAGTGTTAGCAGTGCTAATGTTTATGATTAGTTCTTTAGGGTTAGCACAACTAACTCTGCAGTTAGCCTTTCCCACCGCAGCTGCATGAAAACACTCTTCAGGTGAATCCAGGTTTCCTTGGATTCTTTTTGTAATTAAAAATAAATTGGCATTGGACATTTACTGCACAGTCACTCCTGCTACCCAGTTTATATGAATGCTAGCCATGTAGTTGCTGCAGCAATCACTCAATATTAGCATCAGCATTACATAAGCTTTTGCTGAACTACTCACCTCTACATGTTAAATGCTCAAAGTGGCAGAGAAATATGACCTTATATTTAATTAATTTCATTATTAGCTATTTGATAACTCGCTGGGATCCAGTGTTTGTGTGTAGAGAGCATTTAAACTTATTAATTAATTAATTTGTTCATAATACTTCATAGACAGGACAGTCTCTCCAGGTACTCCGGTTTCCTCCCACAGTCCAAAAACATGACTGTCAGGTAAATTGGCCTCTCCAAATTCTCCCGAGGTGTGAGTGTGTCCTGTGTGTCTCTGTGTTGCCCTGCAACAGACTGGCGACCTGTCCAGGGTGACCCCACCTCTCGCCCGAAACGTTAGCTGGAGAGGAACCAGCAACCCTCCTGACCCCACTAGGGACAAGGGTGTAGAGAAGATGGATGGATGGATGGATGGATGGAGATGGATGGATGGATGGATGGATGGAGGGATGGATGGATGGATGGATGGATGGATGGATATGACAGAACTTGTTGTTTGACAACATGGACTTTATTTTAACATGTAGGACATTTTTAACCCTACTGTGACACAGATTCACAGTAACCTGACATTTATTTGATCTATGTGGAAAACCGAACAACATGGAGAAAGCATCAGCTCCACACTGAAAGGCACCAGTTCAAACGAGAAGAAAACAGAAGCAGCCATTTTCTCATCAAAGCCCTGCAGATTTCATGGGAGTAAAATCGTACAAGTAGGAGAGAAAGATTTCAAGTTAATCTCTGGTGTCTGATTGGCGATGCAGGCGAAAGTGAGCCACAGAAACTTACTGATGCTGCCATGGCAACCTTTGACTGCAGCTGCACAAAGCCCAGCTGCATTTAGGCTTTCACAGCTCACGTTTCTGTCACCGCTGCTAAAAACTGCTGCTGATGCAGTTATCCACATTTTGATTTACACATGACAACAGTTTCTGATTCACATCATAAAAAAACGAAATCTTACCAAGCATTCTGGCCCAGTTATAGTCCAAATATCACTTGGAATAAGACAAAACTAACTTACAAGCAACATTTTAGCATTTATAGTAACCCGTTTTAAGTTAATAATTACTTAATATTGATATAAAAATCCACTTGTAACATGGAAAAATATATTATGATTGAAATAATGGAACTAGAACTTTTTCGTCAATATTAAGGAATTATTTACTTAAAACAAGCTACTATAAATGCTGAAAAGTTGCTTGTAAGTTAGTTTTGTCTTATTTCAAAACCACTAAGATTTTTCCACGAGAAACTGGACTAAAAATACTTGGTAACATTTTGTGTTTTTGGAGTGAAGCGTTTTAAAAATTGAAAAATCAGCACAAAATGGAAAAGTCTTTAAAAGAGATTGTTTAGAAATTGAGTTGGTATTAAATTGTAAATATCTAGCAAATAATTCCCAACACAAAAATATTCCATTCAGAAATAGTTGGACCTTCTGATTACAACTAAATCCATCTAAAATCGATGCAGTGTGTTTTATTTTTTCATTACTGGCTCTGACTAACAGCAACCATGTTAAAGCTAAAGTTAGGTTTCTCTACTTTCAAGAGTAATAAGATATTTGAAACTAGACCAAAAATGCTCGATAGGATGTTGAGTTTTTGCAGTGCAGTAGTTTTATTTAACCAGCGTCTCTTAATGTCACTAACAAATAAACTGTGATCACTTTTAGCTCAGATATTTGTTTTATTATCTGGTCCATCTCAGCATCTGCGCAGACAGAACAAGAAACCCTAAATGAAACGATATGATGCACATATTTTTAGCAGGCGTGGGCATGTGGCAGGTTTTTGTTTTTTTTTGGTTCAGCCTGCAGCTGGCAGAGAATAAAAGAAGGAAATCCTGCCAGGAAGTGGGCCGCAGGTGAACATGCATGAGGTACAAAAACTGGAACATCTGTGAGAGATGAGTTCTGTTTGAGATCATATATCTGAATGAGATTTAAATATAAAAAAGATTGAGGTTAAATGTGTGTAAACTTATGTTTGCTTTGTATTTATGCCATTCAGATTTGGGATTTGTCGAAATAAACTGGTGTTTAGTTTTTACCTCCAGTCAGAAGAGTCTTTCTATTTCTCTGCAACTCTTCAGGGATTAGTGTTAATTTAGTGCAGATTAATTATTTAACTTATAATAATAAGTTACATAATAAATGCCCTGCATACAGGTTGAAAAACCTACTGAGTTTTTAACTAGCAGAGAAGGATTGTTACTTTACAGATGATTATTTTGGCATGTCAATATCAACAAGCATAGTAAGCAAACAGTAGCTGTGTTTCCATTGACCATGTAAATGCACAGTTTGACTTTTCAAAACTAAGTTTCTTTACGGAAACACTCGTTTTTCGATGAAACGTTTCGATGTGGTTTTCTGGTAGAAATTGGTTTATTTTCTCACAAACCTGCAGTGGAAACACTTCTTTCACATCACGAGTCACATGATCACCGACCGGATGTTGCTACTGGCAGAAACAATGAAGAAGAAGACAACAGGAAGTAGTTGGAGGATAATGGAGTTTCATATTTTGTAATAATTTATCACATAAGTAAACTTAATCGCAGAACATCTGGATTCACACTGAGATTTAATTACACAGGGAAACTCAGTTTGCTAATTATTTAACCTGTTGATTGAGCTGGATTTTATTTCAAGATATCCGCTTTCTAGGAAAAATCATTTAAAATCCATGTCATTTTTTCCCTTTCTGTGCACTACTTTATGTTTTATGCATCCACATATAAAATGCCACTAAAACACAGAATTGAAAAGCTGAAGTGTCATTATTTGTCTGTAAGCTCAGCATTACTTCACAGAGGTCAGCTGCTCCACATCCAGTCTGCTTCTGGTCTATTAAATATCAATGTGACATAAAAAGACATGAATAAAAATCCCCTTCAAGTTTCAAAGCCACGGTGTAGCTCAGTTTTTCATTTATTATTTTTTTGTGTCAGTCTTTGTGGAATAGTCAGATCAGAGCTTAAAGAAAATTTGAAGTTGTTGACGGGCAGAAAAGCTTCATTAGTTACAAAAAAGAGACTTTCCAGTTCACAAAAGAGCACAAAGAAATGTTCTGTAAAAATATCCCGTCTGACTCTACAGCTGAGTTTTCCTTCTTCCTGTTCGAGTTAAAATCATTTTAATGCAGGAGGAATCAGAAATGATGCTCTGCTGTCCTGCATCATGTAAGAACAGTTTGAAAAGAAAACCTTTGAAACTATTTATTTTTGGAAAACAAATACTAGAATAAAATAAAAATAAGAATTTTGCTTTGGGTTTGACATTTTGGAAACTGTTGGCTTAGACATTTAGCTCTGGTGTTGATGGACTGTTGTTCCAAATCCGACATATGAAATGTCCCCAAAATTCATAATCTGTCTCGATGTTTCATTACTTGAACATTTTTTTTACTTTTTACCAATAAAGAGCCAATATTTCTCTCCAGTGTACGTCTTTGAAGAATCACATGTTCCAACAGTTGTGAAAAAACAGACTTTAAATTTTGTCAGGTGCCATCATTAAAATCAATATAATTTCAATATGTTGATCAATTTTCCATGTATTATGTTTAAAAAGAAAGTGTAGACAGGTGGGTTTTAGTGTTCTTTAAAGGAACTCAGTGTTTCGGCTGTTTTTCAGTTTTTGGAAGTTTGTTCCAGATCTGTGGTGATTAGAAGCTGAATGCTGCTTCTCCATGTTTGGTTTTAGTTTTGTATTAGTTTGTATATGAACAAAATTGTCATCATTTCTCCATTTCAGCTCTAGAGAGTCGGACTCTCTGACTCACTGAATTCAATTAGCTTCTATCTGTTTTTTTCCTTATTTATGAGACATAAACACTTCAGTCCCTTAATAAATCAGGCTGAGACGCCTTGCAGTTCAGCGCTCTGAGCTGATTAATCATAAATAATGTAATAAATCCAGCGCAGTCTGTTTTTGAATACAGCAAGTTTCCTAAACAGGCTTCCAGGAAGAGAAGCTTTGAGCTAATTGTCTTGTTAGCTTGTGCTGTACCAGCTTCCTGGTGCTTTGTGTTTTGCTCCCACACACTTTATAGGATATTAATTAAGATTGTATCAAATGTTCAAGTTTATTAGAAGTTGCAACAAGGCAGCTCAAAGTGCTTCAGATCATAAAAAGTCATAGAACACCCAGTCAACTCTTGAAGCATTCCATCGTTAAACATCAGAATGTTGATTGATGTTTAGTTTATAATGTTTCAAAGGCAACTCAGGTGGGTTTGTAGCCTTGATTTAAAGGAACTCAGTGTTTCGGATGTTTTGCAGTTTTCAGGAAGTTTGTTCCAGATTTGTGGTGCATAGAAGCTGAATGCTGCTTCTCTATGTTTGGTTCTGGTTCTGAAGCAAAGCAGAACCAGAAGACCTGAGAGGTCTGGAAGGTTGCTATGACAACAGCAGATCTTTAAGCTGTTCAGTGATTTATAAACTACCAGCAGTGATTTAAAGTCTCTTCTCTCAGTGGAGGGACTGTAGAGCTGGGTGATGTAGAGCTGGGTGATGTAGAGCTGGGTGATGTAGAGCTGGGTGATGTAGAACTGGGTGACGTAGAACTGGGTGATGTAGAACTGGGTGATGTAGAACTGGGTGATGTAGAACTGAGTGATGTAGAGCTGAGTGATGTAGAACTGAGTGATGTAGAGCTGGGTGATGTAGAGCTGGGAGATGTAGAACTGGGTGATGTAGAGCTGGGTGATGTAGAACTGGGTGATGTAGAGCTGAGTGATGTAGAACTGGGTGATGTAGAGCTGGGTGATGTAGAACTGAGTGATGTAGAGCTGGGTGATGTAGAGCTGGGTGATATAGAGCTGGGTGATGTAGAGCTGGGTGATATAGAGCTGGGTGGTGTAGAACTGGGTGATGTAGAACTGGGTGATGTAGAGCTGGGAGATGTAGAGCTGGGTGATGTAGAGCTGGGTGATGTAGAACTGGGTGATGTTCTCTAACTTCCTGGTTTTAGTCAGAACTCCAGCAGCAGTGTTCTGGATCACCTGCAGCTGGTGAATTTTTTTTTGCAGACCTGTTTAAGACGCTGCTGCAGTAATAATGCAACTAAAGATAAACACGTATATGAGTTTCTCTAATGCTGAGACATCAGTCCTTTAATCCTAGAAATGTTCTTCAGGTGATAGAAGGCCGGCTTTCTAACTATCTTTATGCGTCTCTGAAGGTTCAGGTCAGATTTCAGCCTGCTCTTTGGTTTCCAGCTGCAATAACTGAAGCTGTTCATTGACTCCAGATCGTCTAGATGTTGTTTCTATTTTTTTGCTTTATCTTTCACTAGAGATTCAAAAGCAGAGTTTCAGCAGCTGCTGTGTTTTATTTTGATCCGTTCTGCTAGCTAACAAGCGGTGCCACCTGTACTGCCAGTCCAAGGAGACCGGAGACGTGGCGTACCTGAAGCAGCTGGTGCAGGATGGGACGCGGTGCTCGTACAAGGACGCCTACAGCATCTGCGTGCGTGGAGAATGTGTGGTGAGGAGTTTTTAAAACAAGGTTTCATCATGTTTGAATCTGCATCACGTTGTTTGAACAGAGATCTTCAATCAAAGTCATGTTATCTGTCATCAACATTTGAACAAGTTCAAAGAAAATCTGATGTTTTTTAAAGACATAATCTGCAGAACCGCACCGCTCATGGTGGAAGCATGTTGGATTAGCTCTGCTGCATTAGCACCCTGGTCTTTTTGAAGAGCTTTGTTCAAACGCTTCAGTTCAGGCACTTAGACAATCATTCCCTCTGGTTCCGGCTGGAAGGATTTTAGCTTTTACTTTCTTTACTGTAATGATTTATAGCCGTTGCAATAAGATTTTTTTTTTACAACCAAGAGATTAGCCTCTCAAAAACTCCTCAAATAAATCCAGAAGTAGGACCAGAAATTCCAGAAGAGTTGAAAAGGAGAAGCAGGAAGTTTAAACTCAACTTTTCCATCAATCATGTTGGACACTCAGCATGACTGACATTGGCCAAAGTATTTTTGGTCTCATTTCCAATGCAAATACCTTAATACACTTGAAATAAGACAAAACTTACAAGTAACTTTATCAAGATATAAGACATAATTTTATAATATTGATGGAAAAGTACAAGTTATTTAACTTATTACACAGGAATATTTCTTGTCGTAAGTGAAATCTTCTGCCAGTGGAGTTAGCATGTTTCCTCCTTAGCAGGGTTCATTTCTGCAGCTCATTTGAACAGTTCTTCTGGACTTTAACGACTAACAGCAGCTTCAACATCGTCTTAGTAAATCTGCCGACTAAAATAGAAGTCAAAAAGCTTTTCTCTGCTTCTGCTTACTCAGTGATGGTTAGCCAGAAGCTAACGGGTGGGTGCTAATCGTCGGCTTGTTGTGTTTTATGGTTGTGCAGAAGGTCGGCTGTGACAGAGAGATCGGCTCCAACAAGGTGGAGGATAAATGTGGTGTTTGTGGTGGAGACAACTCCCACTGCCGGACCGTGAAGGGAACCTTCACCCGGACTCCAAAGAAACCAGGTAAGGTCACCTGGAGCGGCGCGTGGCTGCTAGCATGTCTGACACACAGCTGGCTAGATGCTTCCTGGTCTGGTTGTTTATTCAGGACAGTTTAACAAAACCAGACAAAAATAAACAAAAAACTACGTAGTAAATAACGAAGGAACAGCTTGCTAATTTTTTACATTAGAAAAATCTGAAAAGTGTGGCATGCATTTGTATTTAGTCCCACTGCATTTGGCTCCACCCATCTTCCTCAATATTGCTCCTAATGTTGTTGCTGTTTAAATATATTTACTCTATGATTTAGCTAATATGTGTTTTCATTGTTTTATGGTTTTATGCTGATTACACAGACTGTTTTAGGTTAATTATTAAATCAATAGTAAATTAATAATTAATAAATCAAATTAATATGACTACTATTAATAATTAAATCATGTATTGTTTTAGCAGAAACATAAAATAGTGCATGTTTAATTTGTACTATTAAATCCCTTGAGTCAGCCTTATATAACCATTAAAGTTGTTAATCCCTGGATGAGTCGAAGGTTTTGATTATCAGAGTGAAACTTTACACTTTCAGCCTCCAAGGCATTTTTTATTGTTGCTTCTGATTCATTCATTACTTCTTGCAATTTTATAATGGAAAGCTTTTAAAACCACTTCTAAACACAAACCTTGAGGAGAAAATCACAAGCAAAAAGGCTCCAGGTTGAAAAGCTCCCATAAATTACAGAGCTGTGATTTGTTTGGTCCGAGTTTGAGGAAATCACTGCAGCAGTCGCTCTGCTGAGAAATGCCAACATTTGGTTTAAAATGACAAAGTTCTGAATAATCTGATCCTGTTAATAAAAGCAGACGGAACCGGTTTGCGTTCTAACGTCATGAAAGAAACCCCAATAACTACAAACCTGAGAGACGTACAGAAGAGCCTCACATTTCAGACTTCTGTTGCAAGATGAAGAAATTCCTAATAAATTTGACTGTCCTGACTGCTGCAGGAAAGCTTCTCTGTTTGAAAAATTAGAGTTTAGGTTTCATTTAATGTGGGAATACTTTAAAGGTTTAAGTGGTACAGAGAGATTTAAATGGATTAATGTTGATGTGCATGAGAGGAGCAGGAAATCATCAGGTCTTTTATCTTCTACCTGTGACGGCATATTGGGGACATTTTAGATGAAAAAGGAGAAAATTTCCACCAAAAAACAACAAAAAATTCTGAGTTTGAAGAGTCAAAATATTTTAACTTGAAGCTCAGAAAAAAACATTTAAAACTCAGAAATGTCCATGTTTTTATAGAAAATTTCTTAGAATATCCTTGAATTTAAAATTTTTTGCAGCCTGATGGTTTTTACGGTTACCAAACAGAGCTGAGCTCCGGGTCCCTGCAGAGCGCCGGACAGACTGACATGGGGATTGTGCTTTTAGTCTTTAGTTGTGCTGCTCCATGTCACACATGCAGAGTAAGAACGACCAGCTTGCAGAATGAAACTAAATTATGTTTCAGGACGAGCTGCAGTCACTTAAGAACCTGAATTACAATCACAACATGTTTCATTTTTTCATCTTTGCTGCATTTGCTCTTATATGCAACATATAAAATCCTCTTTAGAAAATTTATATCAACAAAAATTAGATTTACTTGTGTCGTTAAATTTTACTTTTTAAGCTTATTGCAGTTAATTTTGTTGATGATTTTGAGATAAACATGCACAAGGAAAAACAGCTTAAGATTTAATCAATCAGTTAATCAATCAGGTTTATTTGTGCAGCATATTTCAGCATCAAGGCAGTTCAAAATGCTTTATATCCATCAATGATTTTTCTTTAATGTTCTATTTGAGCATTGCTTTAGAAACAATTGATAGAAACAGCCAATTTTGAAATAACTTCCTGATTTTGAGTAAAAAAAAAAAAATCTTTCTCTAGTTGAGGTGATTTTTGACTTTTTCCTGATTTTCTTTTCTAATTCAGGTCCATTTTTAGTGACCAATGAAGAACTCGTGTACATTTACATGTAACCTGCTTATTTTAAAGTAACTTTGTGACATGAGCTCCTGTTAAAGTAAATACGTGGAAATTGAAAAGGTTTTTCTATAGGTTGTTGGTACAAAAGCATGCCACACTTTTCAGACATTTAATACATTTTGAAAACTATCATTTTGATTAATTTGTGATAAGTGAAAGAGAAGCTGTTGACTTGAACTTCTCACACCTGCAATTTATCACCTGAGTTTATTTTGAGGAACCTGCTGCAAAAATCCAGACACCACTTTGTAATCAGTAGTTATTTTCCTGCTACCTTATAATTACAACAACTACATATAAAGTAGATGATACATTAATAAGATCCTGAGTAAATGTTCAGATATTTCTGGTCCAGTTGAAGATGCTTAACTGTGTGTCTGTCCCAGTACTGAACAGATGGAAATGAGATTTTTCTGGACGGATATTAATGTGTGGAACGTTATGATGAAACTGGGAGGCTGAGTTACATTATGGAGGTGCAGAAACTGCAGCAACTTCCAGCAGATTGTTTGTTAATGTGCTAAATTTGCATTCAGAGACGATAAATTAGCCGTTTAGAGGAATTAGCCGGAGCAAATATGCCTACATAGGAAGCGTTGTTGTATCTTTTTAATCAAAGATGTAATTTCATTAAGAATCTTGGCTAAGCTTTATTAGTTTGAGCTTTTACACATTCAGCTTCACACATTGCTAAATTAACCAGATCGTCTCTTAAAGAGGAAAATGCCTCCCTGCTGAGCCGACAATAAGCTGGAAAAGACATGTTTTGTTTTGTTTTGTTTTGTTTTTTTAGAAAAAGTTTTCTCTGTTTTAGCTGTGGGAATGAATAAATGACTAATGGATTCACGCTGAGGGTTTCTGTCTCCTCCTTTCAGCAGCCGGGATGTGATGAAGATTCATCACTAAAGACACTCTGAGCCTCAGTGTGAAAACTTTAGTTTTTTTAGCAAATGTTTCACTGTAAAAGCACAAAATCCTACCAAGTTTTATCTAGTTTTACTTGAAATAGGACAAAAATAACTTTTGCAGTGTTTTAATTAACCAGGCTTTCAGCAAGTTGTAAGAGCTGGTTTAAGTCAACAACTAATTAAAATGTATTTTAAAAAATGTTCTCCTCTCACCCAAACCTGTTTCTGCTCAGATCAAATCTTGCGAATTGTTTTCCTGTGTGGCTGCTGCTGATTGTAGCAACCTGCAAACGGACCCAGTATAACTCCTTAATGCCATTGGCTGAGAGGTTGCTAGGCAACGGTACTTTTCGTTCCAGCAGATGAAAATTTGAGCGTCAAAGTTTGTGAGTGGAGATTTGATCTGAGCAGAGAGACGTTTTGAGCGTGAGGAGAAAAATTTGAGAGAGCAGAGAATATTTGAAAGAGAGCAGAAGTTCCGAGCGCTCTCGACGTTTGGCAGTAAATGTCCTCCATATGAGTGAGTTTTGTCTTATTTCAAGTGAACTAAGACATGAGCACCAGACCAGAAACACTTGGTAAGGTTTTGATTTTGCAGTGTTTTATTTAACCAATCACCTTTTCTACAGGGAAACAGTTGAGCAAGAGAGAGCAAAATGACTCCCCACTGGTGGAAAACTCACCATGCAAGTATCCCAGACTGTAGTGCAGCTGGATGTCTAACGCTGTAGAAACCAGAAGAATCGCGTCTCAAACTGCTGTGACTAATTAAGTGTCTGTTTGGGTTTTCCTGTCTTTGCCTTGTAGGCAGAAGACGTTGTTCGTTGTCGTGTTTGTGGCTTTAAAAAAGACAAACGTAGTTTTTTGGTTGGGGAAAACGTCGGTCAGAACCGAGCCGCCGGCCTCTGGAAGCAGTCCAGCGTGTAATTGGTGGCTGATTCAGTGGAACCTGAGAGGAGCGCCGGCGCTCGGTTCAGCCCGATGACTCACGTCCACAGGGCCAATTTATGACACAAACCTTTTCTTTCAGAGCTTTAATCAAACTTTTCTTTCCACGGAGGGCGCATGGCTGCTCTGACGTCCTCCAGATTTATTCTTTAACTCTTTTGAAAAGCGTTGATTGGAGCTTTGAATGCTGAACACACAGCACTCCTGTGAGCAGAGCCGGCTCTGAAATAAGAGCAGCACCACTGCAGCATATTTTTACTCAAGTAAAAGTAAAAAGTAGCTGCCAAAAAAATGACTCGGTAACATAAAAAAGTATTTGGTAAAAAATCTACTTGAGTGCTGAGTAACTGATCAAATGATCAATCATTTAATATCTAAACTGCATCATCAGACACAACAAAATATAAAGTTAAGTGGAAATGTTGGTATCTTTAGGACAAAAATGACAATAATTCTTATAATTAACAAAAAAACAACAAAAATATATTCTTTCCGAATCAGTTTCTATTAAAAAAAACTTCTAAAACTTTAACAAAAACTGCAGGTGTGTGTCTGAGTTTGGTGAATTTCTGGTTAAAACATGTTTGTTTTCCATTCAGTGGGTAGAAAATGCAGAAATTTCACTCAGTTTAGAAAAGAGACACTTTGTGATAAAATTACTCAAGTTAAAGGAAAAATTACAGCGTAGTAAAAATACTTCTATAAGTACATTTTTCAAAAACGTTACTCCAGTAAGTAGTTACTGCCGTTCTCTGCCTGTGACTTTTCCCCGCCTGCTGCTTCCAGAGCGTCCGTCCGGTCAGTCGTTTTGTTGTGGATTCTTCTGGTTTGCTGATTAGAAACTTTCCTCCACAGAGTGCTGCTGCTAGGAGAGACGGAGAAACGGTGACTAACTGATCTGTTTCTGTCTGAAGGGAAGACCAGAGGAGCCTTCTCTCTGCCCAAAGGAGCTCGCAATGTGTTTCTAAATGAAAGTGAGGAGTCTAGAAACGTTGTGGGTGAGTGGCGGCGGGTTTGTGAGCGGCGGACATCTGCAGCAGAAAACCACAAGTAGAGGAGAATAACTGCCTCATTGAAACGGCCTGAAGTTCATTCACAGGTGGAATGAACTCTGCTCCATTACAAAAACACAAAAATTCACAAAGTATTTTGGTCTAGTTTCTAATGCACTTAAAATAAGACAAAACTAACTTACAAGGAACTGGTCAGTTGAAATCGGCTCTGATTTTGGGAGATCTGTGATCAGCTGATACTGAACCACAGACTTCAATATCAGAAGTGAGAAAAGTGGATCAGTGCCTCTCTGGTAATAAGTAATATATTCTGCCGGTGGACTGAAAACTTTTGCCTCAACCATAAGGAATTATTTACTCAAATCAACATCATCTATCTTACTAAAAAGTTTCTTATAAGCTAGTTTTGTCTGATTTATAGCGCATTGAGGTATTTGCTCTAGAAACTAAAAGTACTGATGTGTTTTTGCAGTGTTGGGCCCGTTTCAATGTGTTTTCTGTAGGAACATTAACTTGTTTTAACTTTCTCTCTTCTTCAAACGTCGCTGCGTAGATCCAGAGTGAAGAAACCTTCTGCAGAAGTCTGATGTCCGCTGCTGCAAACAAAGAGTTTAGTTCTAGATCTGCTTAACTTTTCTGTCTCCTCTCATCTTCCCTAACCTGCCGCTTCTGCTGCTGCTGCGCCGAAGGTTACCTTAAGATGTTTCATGTTCCTCCTGGAGCTAGACACGTGCAGATCCGGGAACACGAGGCCGACCCGCAGATCCTGGGTAAGTGGCTTCCCGCCGGACGCTGCGGCCCGACCTCACCGCCTCGCTGGAGCTCTAATGGGAAAATGTTCCCTAAAATCAGAGATTAGAAACTCTGCATAATTTATCTCTCGTCATTTTCTCGGCCCGAGAGAATCCAGTTGCTCATTCATTATTCATAAACCCATTAAAGAGTCGCTTTTGGGTCCCATCGCTTGTAAAAATATGTTTTTAGAGTTCGAGTCCACAGATGTTTCTGGCCACATGTCGGATGAGTCGGATTTCTTTAGGCTCAGATCAGCAGAAACAGGAGAAGAGTCTTTGTGAAGCCGCTTCATTTCTCTAACTCGGTAATAAAACCTCTAATGAAGACGTTGAACACTGAGAGGTTGCTGAGAGGCCATGGGAAGCTAACCGGCTAAATGACTTGGAAAATACCACAACGCATTTTAATGTTCAGATGAGCAAAGAAATCGTTAAAGCAACAACTGCCTGAAGGCGAGATGATCAGCGGAGAGTTTCCACAGCTTCATTGTGATGAAGCTCTTCTCCTCTGTCTGATGAAACGAGTCGCAGAAGTTTTGGTTAAAAGTTAAAGTTATGTTCAAACTCTCAGAGTTGCTTTCCACGTTATGTTTGCTCTGTCAAATCTCTGGAAGCTGAAACGCAACACGATTACCTTTTAATTCTGTTTATTGCTTTGATTTCATACTTTAGTTTAATTTTCAATCATTTTTAAACTTTTTAAATGTTTTTTATTTAAATCAGAGGTGTTCAACATGGGGGTCGTGACACCTGGGGGGCCACAGGCGTACTGCAGGAAGGCTGTACAATTTCAGATTTTTGTATATTTTATCAAAATTCAAAGTTGTGTCTTTAAATACACAATAACATTCATGATAATCCAGCATGTAACAAATTAGTAGGAGGCATAAAATAATCTATATTCATTATATTCAGGTATATTTGGTGTTTGAACTATTAAAATATCTAAAATGCTTAAACTTATTTTCTGAGTTTAAATCAGATAATCTCTCCATTATTAGAAAAAAAACAAATAACTATGATTGTTAGCAACCTTTGGAGTTGAAGAGGAAGCACCAGGTTCAACACGAGATGTAGAAAATAAACCAAGGAACCAACAAACCCTGAAAACCCGGTTCAGCATAAAAGTAATTTATTTTCACTGCTTTAATTCAGGGCTTCACCAGGACTTAAACACAGAGGAAGCAATAAATGTTAGGATCTCCAAGGCCAAAGCAACGGAGACAAAAACCCGGGACTGAAAATAAAACAATGTTTTATCTGTCAAAACAAAAGTTTTACACCTGAAGCCCCTGATTGGCCACAGAGAATCCATAACAAGATGTCTTCAGTAATTCACAGAACAAAAAGATCTAATCACAGAATCAGGGCAAAAGATGCAGTATCATCCTGACAAAACTTCCTAAATAATTACATAATATTGATGAAAAAGTTCTAGTTCCATTTTAGATTATTTCACTTATAACATGGGAAAAATGTCTTATACAAGTATAAGATATCTATAAGTGAAATAATCTGCCAGTAATCTGCATGTAAATTAGTGTGAAAACTTTAACTTTAGTTTATGTCACATTGTCTTAACTTCCCATCTCATTTCTGTTCTTTTCATGAACAGCTGAATCTGCAGTGTTTTCATTTACTGCTACAAATAAAAGCCAACAGGTTCTTTTAATATAAATAAATAGACAAAATATATAAAATACATTAGTTTTACAGCTCTGAGTTTAGAGATTGTTTTACTTTCTCAAGCAGTTTGTTGGATCAGATCTTTTGCTTCCTGTTCTTTTTAAACTGTTTATAAAAATAAATATAAATATGTCTCTAAATTCCATGTTAATATTTTTAAATATGACTTTCCTCTTTCTGTGTTTTTATTAATGGTGATACATCTGGAATAGGTAATTTTTCTATTTATCATTCCAGATTCTGATTTAAAGCTGTAACTTGTTTCCAACATTTATTGTGTAAAAGTTTTTCTGACTGATAGGTATTTTTCTCGAACCTACATAAAAAGACCACAGACAACGTATATGAATTTTATAGACAAAGCTTTTGCAAAAGGAAACCCCTCCGCCAACAACTTCATCAGCCGTTCACAGAGAGTTCTGGTCTGCTTTCGCGTGAGCCCCTGTTTTATTGTCAAGCAGAACAGCCAGAAAAAAAACAACAGAGGTCGTAAAACATTTAACCTAAACAAACCAGCAACTCAGTTCCAGGTGTGATATCTGATCTACTATCTGAGCCCAGTTCAGCTCTAGGTCAAACTGTCAACAAAGAGGGAGGATAAACAAGAGACAAAATACGACTGCTCACAGGCAGTTAGGAGGTATTCTGGTTGATAAGAATTAAGGTCTGGGAAACACAGAGTTAACTGTCTCACATGAAGATGAACCAGTCAGTCGTAACCTCCAGGTCAGTTTATACACACATAAGAGAACACTTTAAACTAAAAATCACAATAATACTGATTAACATTAGACTGAATATGAACTAAATTAATAACAAAATGATAATACCAAAAGGCAGTCGTAACCTCCAGGTCAGTTTATACACACATAAGGAAGAGAACACTTTAAACAGAAAATCACAATAATACTGATTAACATTAGACTGAATATGAACTAAAGTAATAACAAAATGATAATACCAAAAATCTCTATCATAGTTCTTTGTGGATGTATAACTTGCCCACCTTAGTTTCCC